GCTATTATCGTTTTGTGTGCATGATAATATAGTTATCATTCTCAGTTACCACAGGCCCTTATGGTTGTATGCTTTTTTGAACATTCCTGTAGCTTCAGATTTGAAACAGGAGCAGTGTTGTGGAGTGTGTGCTAGGTCAGGACTATCTTATTACATGAACAGTCTGGATATTTGTCATGCGTCAGCTTTTCATGCCATGAAATAGTGAGTGTAACTGAGCCAGACTCACATTCGTAATGTAATACAGTTACTTGAAGCCTCACAGGATGTTGCAATAAAGCGGGTTCATTAGTAATGTATATTTACAGCATACAATTCATTTGAATCCTTCTTTCCCGACAATAATAAGGTAAAACGACTCTTCTGTCTCAGTGGTGACCTAAGTGAGATGTGGGTTGAGTCTTTGATTCCAAATTGTGGGACACACTCCCAATTCCAAACTTTGCATAAAAATACCTGGATGGAAACCTATCTACTTATAAGCAGTCCTTATATCTAATGTCTGGTTTTGGACGTTTATTTTCCTGTTTACTGTTTTTGTTTTGCACCATAGTAGTAGTATCTTTGTTGATTTAATTCCTTGATCATCCCCAGGTTTTCCCTATTTCCCCTGTTATTCCCTGTATAAGGTACGTTCACTCCATACTGGAATTATCGGAATTACTGCCGTAATTGTGAGATTTCGACTTGTACAGCATTTACGTCCTTGTAGAACTCATAATTACAACTTGTAAACTCAGAATTCACCACGTGACCGCTCTACCACCGAAATGTTGCAGATTCATTTTGGCGTTGGTAGTGTTACCGTAGATATGCATAATTCCGGGTCTGAGGATGTGAACGGCACAGAGTAGAAAGTCACTTGTTGTCATCTCGTAATTACAACATGGTGTGAATGCAGCAATACCCCTTGTGTTTCATTGTTCTTTGTTAGGTTTTAGTTCTCAGTTCTGGTTCTTGTTTGCTTTTTTTCTTGTATGTTTTGGGTTTATCTTTGTTAAAATGAGTTTATCTGCATTTAGATCCAGTCCCCCCTCTTTTCTGACCTCACCACCATCACATTTAGAACATATGTGTTATTATAAATCTGTCATTTGTAGTTAAGTGGCTTGTTAAGGGAGCTCCATAAAATGTTTACAGACCTGAATGGATTGACTTACACTATCTGGATTTAAATGCATAAATCAGCTTGTGCTATGCTAACATTGGCTAAAAATACTTGACCCAATGTTTCACACTGCCCTTCAGATGTTCCTGAAGATGTTAATAATGTAGGCTGCCTCCAGCAGATGCCTCATTCTCACACCTTTGGCTAACTGGCAAAATTTCAGTTACTGGGTAACTAAACATGAGATAGTGCCCACTTTTCAGAGAACAGTTCATTGATAAGACTTGTGGCAGTGGGCTATGTTACCTTTCTAGTCCATGACTTGACCTTTAACCCTTGAACTTAAATGTGATAAATCAGACTGTATATACAAGTGCATGTAAAGGGTGCAATGAGGTCACATTGGCTGCTTTGTCTTGCTTATTTAGCTGGACAGTTTATTCAAAGCAATTCTGCAAACAGGTTTCTGGAGTTTATAGTTAACTGGACTGGATAGTGCCTGGAGATATAAAAATGGGAATAGTTCTTCAAGAGATATAGAATTGTTTTTTTAATGGACAGTCAGTCATTGACTTGTTTTTTTGTGATTCACCTAATCACCATTTTCTTTCTCCTCTCATAGATTCAGGGCCATCACCATCTGTGTTTGCATCCATGTATAGACATAAGTCCTGTGAAAACATAAAAAAAAAAGGTGAATCACATGACATTTTGCATGTGTTTTATTAAATTTTGAGTTTAAAGAAGAACAACAAAGTAATATTAGTGATTAATCATAAATGGCTGAAAATGTCAAAAAGCAGCTATGTTGCTGTGGAAAATTAGCCTGGGTTTCCCCATACTGCCTTTGCGCAGCGCGATTTTATTCACGCTGCTAGGCAGTCTGGATACCATGGATCAAATTTTCCCATCGTCTTCTTCCTCGTGTAATTTCTTTCGCTCTACATACGTCATCTGGTATAATTGAAACGATTGGCTATGAGCTACGTACAGGCGCATTTGATAGAGATTCGTAGCACCCAATAAACGGCTCTGGGCATTCGTAAACCACGCCTCAAATACGAGAAAATGAACATGTGGCTCAATGAGACGTGGTTTGACGTTAGTAGGGATGGGACGGTATGAAAATTTCATATCATGATTATAGTGTCCAAAATTATCGTGATTATCAATATTATCACGGTTTTGTTAAAATGAGATGAAGATGTTCAAAAAGAACTGATGCTCACACTGAAAACATTTCAACAAGTTTTATATTTGAAAATCAACAAACAACAAATAAAACAAGCAGCTCTATGCAGTTTTTTAAGCAAGATTCTAGTCTGTGCCATTTCTTTATAATGACCGTCGTCAATAGCAACGCATTATTACACAGCGCGCACATCCATGTATTACAACGGACGCGCGCTCTTGTTTCATTCAAATACAACTTGCCGTCTTGTGTCTACCGTTTTTGATTGGATTGGAAATGAAATCAGAGTTGATTTATTGTTTGCAGAGTTTGATAATATTGTTGTGATCATCTTGTCTGGACGATTGTTTTGTACGCTGTACAAAATGGTTTTATAAACAGGTAAGATTTAAAACATTAATCTCAATTTAATATGTCCCCGTAATTATGTGGTAAAAATAAAATCGGTGTAACAAGTGTACAATGAAACTATACATTATACTATCCCTTAAAATGTCACTCTTAATAATAGTATTGTTTGAAGTTGTTCGTTCGTCTTTGGCTCAAAGCCACTTGCTGCGAACCTTTCTTCGTGTAAGCTGCACGTTTATTTCAAGTGGGTGACATAATATATTTCAACTCAAAACAATTTTTCGTGCCCAATTATTTCCCAGACGTAGTTTTGGTATTGAGGTCCAAGTTAACTTGCCTTGCGTTCGCTATACAACACTGGGTGATGGCCACACAAGACGACTCGGCAGATTTGAAGTGTTTCTATTGCAGCGACTTTTTGTGCTGACAGGGTTACCATCCTCGATCAAGTTTCCCTCAGGACTTTTGTAAAAGCCAAAATATGACCACACCTCAGATTTGTTCCTCTTAAAGCAGCACTAAGTAGGAATTCTGTTTTTGTCAAACAGCGACCCCTAGAGTCGCTGTGGAGTACTCGTACTGTCGTGAATAGCACTCACGCAGAGATGGCTCGCACTCACGGCCGGATCCCCTCCCCCTGTACACCGGTACCTGTTCAGTAGGATGGACGGTGTAACGAGTGGAAATAAGGTATGGCCCCTTTAAGAGCTGCGCGCGCCCAAGACCACATGTATACGGCGCTGGGTTATTTCTGTTTGATGCTCATTTTATCAGAATTTTATCAGATCTGTTTTTTTGCCGTAAAGCAATTCGTTACCTCGCGAGACCTGATATCACACGATACTTCCTAACACTGAGGCCGGCGGCTCGCCGCCCCAAAGTTGCAAGGGTGGTTTTGCGGCTCACAGGCACCAGGGGGGTGCGAGACGACCACCATTCAACACAAAATCAGTAATATAAACATTACAATGACTCCAAAGCTGTTCGGTTAAGGTAAAAAAGTTACTTAGTTCACCTTTAAAAGGCAAGAAAAATATCCCGAGCACGGTCACTGCCTTCCGCCATTCCTTCTCGAAAAAAAAACAAAAAAACATTGCGTGCTGCGCCTGCGTCAGACTGTTGCTGGCTGGACTGGATTAACAGTGAGTTACTAAAATTGCGATAATCAAACACGGTTTTAATGATAATTAAATTTTAAACGATAATACTAACCGTCAGTACATTTTATCGTGGTTTATCGTGAAACCGGTAATCGTCCCATCCCTAGACGTTAGCCAGGCTAGTGGAAAATAACTCCACAGCTTCACTGGCTGTTGCTGCCCTCTGTCTTTTTTTTAAAAAGTCATTTAAGAAAATTCTTTCTGTAATTTGTGTGTAGGTCAGGGAACATGATTAAATGATTTAATAGTTTTATTTATTTATTTATTGTATTAATCATACTCAATTGACAGTCCTTGTAATTACAGAATTAATCATTACAAATTACAAAGCTAGTAATAATTACTTTTTTTTTTTTTGTGCAAATCTACTTGTGAATGAAGAGTTCAGATTATTCATTGTATTTGTATAGTGCCTGCACACTTAGTTACTATGGTTTCTTACTACAAGTGATCTTACTACAAAGACATGCGCACACAGAATACCCAAACACATAATTTGCTTTTCCTCTGGCACTCACCTGATCATATAATGACTCTCTGTCCGCACTTCACTGTATGCGTAGGAGGACAGAGCTTCTCTCTCCACTTCTCTCTCTTTCACTCTCTCTCTCTCTTTCTCTCCACTACACATACATTTTCTCCTATGCTCACGTTTGTTATCTTGCCTGTTATGTTTCTATGACGTCAAGGAGAGAGAGGAGAGGTGGGTGATTAATATATATGTATGGTGTTGGCAATGGCAATGTTCTGCCTATGGACGATAATCCCTCTTGCTTTTGTTCCTGCAGTCCCTTGAGATGAACACAGCCTCTGCTAATGTATCACTGTACTGAAGGAAAGCCCTGCACAATCTCATTAGACTGTCATTACCGAATATACTGATATTAGCCTCACTTATTTTTCTTCATAGACGCCCTATTTGAACAGGAAGGAGAGGCACAAAGAATAGATCATTTTGTGCTTGTTGGTAGAATAGTGAAAGGAGAGAAATTTTATTTTTGTGCATGTGTATTTTTCTGTTTTGGGGTAAAGCAGAGTGTTGTGAGCAGAATGGCAGAGAAGGGAGTGAAGGGGTGGAGCCTTTTGGCTCCCCCATTCATATTATGCAAATAGCTCTGAGCCTGTGAGCGTCTGATTGGCTGGCTGGATGTGTTGCTGGCTGATAGGACAGATAAAGCAGCATTCAGCAGTGAGGCGCTGAGAAGAGGAGGAGGACAGCTTACAAGGAACAGAGAAAGAGAAACGGAAGATATAGAAGGCTTTAATGTACAGCACAAGCAAAGAAAAGAAATACAGCTATTTAATTCCTTTAACCACCTGCATGTCCACTGATAGAAGACTGTACAAACGGAAGATTTAAATGACAAGATTGAATGTGACTGGATTGTGACACTACCGTTGCAGCCCCTCCGGCAGGCAGCCCATTCACAAACAGCGGACCGCTTCAAGTGCTTTGACAGGGGAGAAGATGAGGAAATTCTGACTGACACTCCTCCTGCATGGAATTTTTATCTTGTTCTCGGTCTCAGTGATTTTCAGGAGACCAATCTTGGCTCTAGTCCAGTTCATCAGGCTGAGCTGAGGAAGCTGAATAAAGCCGGGAAGATATGCGAAGAAAAAGCAGACAAGCAATCAGCGTGAGTGCAGCATCTGTTTGCACCTGCCACTGAAAAGACAGCTCTGCCAGCACGGCTTTTGTCGTCCGCCTGCCTTCCTGGCGAATGAGAGACCGAGGCCTCTCGGCCGAATGGAATGGAATTCAGCCATGCGGCTCTGACTGGAGTTGTTGTTTGCCTTGTGCTGTCAGTGGGCAGGCAGTGCCTGCGTTCCTCCTGCTGCTGCTACTGACTGTTTCCAGATTATCTCAAGAGTGTAGGCTGAAAATATTCTCTGCTTGCTTCCGCCCCTCCACTTTTAGCCACTCTTGGGCAGAAGCAAGTGATAAACAACTAACTTGATGATTTGAATTAACCTACTTGGTGAATGGATGCACTGGGGGTTAAACTTAACTTGGTTGATTTAATGGAGTCTTTTGCCCCTTAAACTTATTCTGCATCTCTGGAGGATTGCGCTGGCCTGAATATTTTTCTATTTTCATCCCTCGAGGTGCCATTTTTATCATTAACTGTTCACCGGTTATGCAGAGGCTGTAGTTTCCATAGAAATGAAGATATCTGTGAATCTCTGGAGACTGAGAGTGTCAGAGTAAGGTGAAGGAGAGGTACAGGGAAATAAATCTGTTGTGTTTCCTTTAGCCTGGGATGAAAAGATGTTTGGATGATAGTGGAGATCACTGACTGGATGAATGAAGGAAGATTTTCAGGGAGACGCTTATTTTCCAGCCATTCCTCACTCTGAGGAAGTGAAGATACAGAGAGGCACAAAAACACGCTGTTCTCAAGGCACTCCTTTCTCTGAACTGCCAGAAGCAAACAGTGTACGGAGAAAAAGACTGTTAGCCATGTGCTAAAATGCTCTCCTACTCTCAATTGACTCTTTCAGTGTCCTCATGTTGAATCAAATTCTTCAAATTTTTCCATTTTTGAAATACCTGTTGAAAATCTATACTGTCAAATAGAGTGCATTGTTATTTTCATGAATAGCAGATGCTATTCGGTGAGAAAAATTACAAACAAGACTTGTAGCAAGTGGGAGAAGTTGTTCAAATGTCATTTGCTAATCTTATAGGATGATCGCATCTGTTTTTGCTGTGGATGAGCATGACATCAACAAAGAGCGAATTTTCAGCACTAATACCCAAAGCCTGGTCTCTGTCAGATCATTTGTGTCTCATGGACTTCTGATAATTCTTGGGTAGAGGACTTTATCCTTGATTAGGAAAGTGAGACAACTTCACTAAAGTCAAGATCCAGATACAAGACAGTAAAATGGATGATTCCAGTATATTAAGGCGGAGAGGCCTTCAGGTAAGGATGAATGATACTTCTAACATTATTTAAAAACTTGTTTGAAAGTTTTTCTCCAGTTTACTCCAGTTTCATATATGTGACTAGTCACATTTCATCCTTTAGGTTTGGTTCCTTTCTTATTTTTCACTGTTGCTGTGATGTGTCAGCACATAAAAAAAATGTAAGCACTGCAGAAAGCAAGAAAACTCTGCCTTGGGATCAAATTATCCAGTTTTGTCAAGCAGAGTGTACCTTTCGAATGTGTCTCGGTGATAACAGATTACCGTGCTCAGGGAGGGATTTCAAATTAATTAATGACTAAATTCAGCATTTTCCTTTTCGTATCTGCTTTTCTGTCCCTTATTCTTCAAATAATTTTCTTACTAGCTTTCCTGTCTCCTTTCTTATTTGAATTACAGGAACTGTCAATAGTCATCATCATGACTCAGTGTTTTATATGGGTACAAACTTTTTGTTTGGACAGCCGAACAACGATTGAATTAGACTGAGCTAGAATGTGAACCAATAAAAACAAGCTTGTGTGTATGTATGTGTGTGTGTATATATATATATATATATATATAGACACACATCAACACTTAATCATCTGACGCAGATGCTAAACTGGGAATGTAATCACACACATGAACAAATATTCCTGGCTTTTTGCACACCCACCTCTTTTACACCCTTCAGTCTTGTTTTTTCTGTAATATTGTAACAGTCCAAGAGTGTGTTGTGTAACTGCATTCAGTAAGTCCATCTGCTAGTTAACCCAAGTAGATGACGACTGCTCTGCTAAATTTGAGAACATAGCCTCTTGATGCTAAGTACATGTCAAGAGATGAATAAGAGTGTTTTTCATATCTCATATACATATATTTAGTATCAACTCTAATTTAAACAGTGTTAGCTACACAATGCAGTGCAGGATTCAGACTGCTATTTGAGAAACTATTTGATTGTATAATTTAGCTCCTTGTCCGCAGGGGTTTTCAGTGGGCAAGATAAGATGTTTGTAAACGAGATGAAAAGAGAAATGACAATGTCCGGCTATAATTTGGATAATATTTAAATGACACTTGTGAAATGGAGTGGTGCAGGATTTCACTGAAGTGTCATTCACTGGAAATGCATTTTGCTTTTGAAGAGCAGCGCAGGCACAGTTTGCTTCCATTCTGGGTAATAGCGGAGGTTTTAAGGCACTTGGCAGTTCTTGCGCTCACTGCTGTCTTTTGTGCTAGGGTGTCTGTGTTTTTGCCCGTTGGCTGTGGGGCTGGATGTGGTTGAGCTGAACTCTTGTGAGCTGAACTCTGTGTTGTGTCTGTTCACTCAGCTGTGCAGTGGGGAGGGTTTGTCTCGATAAATCCACCGTAGGGCTTTCTGTCTGCCAGAACCGGACAGTGAGATGAAGCAGCGGGCTTATTCCGCTATCTACTGTAACATCTCATTTAACTTCATATCCGGTTTCTACAATCACTCTGAGTGTGTCAGCAGAATCTGAACAACACCACTAGAAACACAAATAATACCATTCAAAAGTGGTTAGTAAGGTTTTAAAAAAAAATGTTTTTAAAATAAGTCTTATCCTCACCAAGGCTCCGTTTATTTGTTTAAAAATCACAGTAAAAATTGTAATATTGTGAAATATTATTATAATTTAAAATGGCCGTTTTCTATTTTAATATATTTAAAAATTTAATTTATTTCTGTAATGGCAAATCTGAGTTTCAGCAGACATTACTCCAGTCACACGATTCTTCAGAAATTATTCTAATTTGGTACTCCAGAAACATTTATTATTATTATTGATGTTAAAGCTGCAGTCCGGCATTTTTCCTCTTTGTCGCAATCTCTGTTTGAAATCTGTAATTGCAGTTATTCGCGGAATTATTAACTTTGCGTGAGTTGCACATCGGCATGAAACAGCGCGGATGAACACAATGTTTTGAGACTGCGAGTCTGTCAGTCACCGCGCCGATGTGGAAACTGGCATTCAGAATCACACATTCTACTTTTGGAAGTAGGCCTACAGTATGACCATGACAACATAGGAATTTTCATCGGAAAATGTCATCTGAACAAGTAAGTAACATCCACATCAACTAAGGGGGGAAAGCCTTGCAGTAAATCGTGCTGATTAAATATAACGATCGCGTCAAACCTTTCAAATTATACTTTGTTCTCAAATTATCAACATCAGCATTGTGACTACATTTAATGTGTATTATGATTACCCTGTAGTTCAGTTTCTATTTCTGTGCAGTCTAATTTCTAATTGTCATACCAATAAATTAATGTTTCTTTACTGGTTTTCTTAAAAAAAAAAAAAAAAAAAAAAAAACACGTATCTGTAATCCGATGCATATTTAAAACTATATATAATTTTCGGAGGAGGCCGTTTTGGTTTGCTTGGAGTAGAGGTGAATTGCTCCCTCTCATAGCTAGCACAAAATATTTACCATAATAGCTAAACGAATAAAGACAGGAAACTCCGTAACTGTGTGAATTAAGCGAACAAGTGTGCTACTGTTACACGATTGAACTATTGAAATGTCTTACCTGTCCTGTCCTAAAAGAAAAAAAGCCGTTTCTGCGTCCGTTTTGAACCGATGTTTATCCTTGTTTTCGCGTGGGCCAGTTGCAGTCTCTTTTTTCTCTAACGTTACCCACTCCGAAGTCCGAAATATTTGGGGTTTACAAGTGGTGAATGTCCAGTTGTCACTGGTGATTGTCGTTTGAACCTTTCTGGATCCGCCATAAGTTTAATTATTTAATGCTGTGAGAAAAGGCTAAAAATGTCCACCTCCAACATCCTCACGCAATATAGCCGACTAGCCGGGACGCCTTCTTTATGTGTACAGATGTGACGTAATGACGCAAAGACATGCTCGAATTTCCCGCGGAAATCCACCAGTACCACTGGAATTAAAATCATTATTACAAGCTAACCGTTTTGAATCGGGCAAAATCAAGCAGATATTTTTGAACACTGGCTTATGTTTTTTTTAATTATTATTATTTTGGATAATTTTTAACCCAAAAAAGTTACGGACAGCAGCTTTAAAGACAGTTGTGCTGCCTAATATTTTTTTGTTGTGGAAACCATGATACATTTTTGTTTCAGTAGGCCTATACTTTTAAATCCAAAGTTCGAAAGAACAGCGTTTGTTTGTAATAGATTTTTTTCGTACCAGTCTTTTGTAAAAGTCTTTACTGTCTAAAACCGTCTTTACTGTCACTTTTGAACAATTCTTTCAAACATTTTCTCACCCCAAACTTTTGAACGGTAATGTATGCACATTTTTCTCTGGGGCTCCTTGAAATCCATATTTTTTACGAACCTATTGACTGATTGCTGATGAATAGGTCATTATGGCTTTAAGCCATGCATTCCCTTAATGCTCTAAAGTGGTCTGGGCAGTTAGTCACATGGGGACCGAGCCCAGTATGGCTGGCCAGTGCGAGACGCAATGCCCTGGAAAGCCGCATTTGGCAGTGTTTATGGGATGAGATTCTCCGTAATGCTTCTAAGTGGTCTCCTGAGGCCCAGACCTGGTACATTTTTTTCCTCAAGGTCAGTGGTCATCCACATGCGCCTGACAATCAAACACTCTTTGGTCACAGATTTAAATTGTTCATTAGGCACTTAGGCATGACGTGAAACACGTTATCAAATTGTTAAATTGTTAATGAATAAGAATAAAAAAAATTCTGACAATGTAGCTTATACTGTATGTAGGCTGTTCATATTTGGCAAACAATGTAGCATATTGGGATATGGAGTCACATGTGTGTGATTTGATTATTAGTATTTTAGTGCTCAAACAATTCATCATAGATAAATATTGTATTGCATTGGCTGATGTTTATTTCTAACTAGCTCTCTGTTCACAATGTATTTAATTGTTGTGTATTGCTATGTATTATTTGTGAGCCCTAGTTTATATAAACTGTGTTTTGTAAAAGTGTATATATTTATTTAAATAAGAATAAAAAAAAAAACATTTATTGAAATAAATGGTATCGGCCCAACCATTGTGATTATATCTATCAGATTGTAAACTAATCACAATGTAAAGAAGTGTTAACAAAAATGTTGTTGGTCCATGGCTTAAATGGTCATGTAAAACTAAATGATGATTTTTTTTTGATGCAAGAAACCTTGTCCAGCATTATAAATTAATCTACACGTACAGTCAAACATAAAAATGTATTCAGACAGACACCTTCAACATTTCTCACATTATCAGATTATTCGCTATAGTTTAGAAAATGGTAATAAAATATGACAAGAACTCAGAGTTATCAAATCAGTTGATATTTCACTGGTTTTGCCCATCCTTCTGTTAGACTCTCACAAATGAATTAGGTTGAATAGCTGTCAGCTGTTAAATTTGAGGACACAATTAGCTTAATTTTGCTCAGTCTGTGGTGTAAAAAGGTCGCATTAGCAATTAAAGCAAAAAATAAAAGCAAAATGGTCAGGTCAAAGTGTCTGAATAATTTGACTGTATGAAGAATTTTGGGGTATACTATGTCACAGTTTACCTTATTTTGCTATCCTCACTTACATAAATGAACTATAGTGTCCTGCACCCACTAGTAATACAAAAAAAAAAAAAAAATTATATCTGGTGTCTGAATAATTCTTGGTGTGACTGTAAATAAATGAAACCATATGATATAGCCTATTTAAACACTTCAGACTTTAAAAATATGACAGCTTAGAATTTCAGTCATTTTTAAAGGTTAAGTAGAGATTGTCCTGTTACATAATGCCAGGTTTTGTGCTCCCTTTTATTCCTTCTTTGGAAATTCACCTTCAGAATTAATGTGTCCATCCAGCTTAGAAGTGGAATTTCATTTGAAGTGAAAGTGTAATAAATAACCTTTTTGTGAGAGGTAAAATCTGATTATGCTGTGTTTTGCTTTTCACTCTTATCTGTGGTGATGTTGCAGGCTTGATTTTTCCCCATGATTACTGTGAATGTATCCACAGGAATTTAGTTTTGCGT